CTCCCACCAGTGCCCCTTGATGAACGGGACTTTGAAACAAAGCCCGAAACTCTCAAGTGTGAGAGATGCTCTACGGAAAGTATTCGCTTGTACGAGGATGGGTGGATGTGCCTTGACCCTAGTTGCGTCGACTTCTGGAAGATCGAAAACGCTTCCCCTCCCGCTGAGCTGACTTTCAATCCTGATTTCCTGAGCTTTCGCAGTCCTCCGGACCCAGCAATCCAGCCACACTACAGTCTAGTCCCTGATCTTTTGTCCACATTGGATGAGAATACCGCGGATGTAAGCACAGCTCGTATCGCCTGGAAGGGAATTGTGTGCCCTATGTGTTTCAAATGTATCCGACGAACTTTCTGGCGAGGTTGGAAATGTGATGATGACTCTATTGGCGAGGAATGTGCGAACAGCTGCCCGTTTCAAAAGTTCATGAACATGAAGCCCGTTTCGCTTCGAGTCGTCCTCGATCATTTCGAGTTGGCCCCGATCAAGAGAGCAATTATTTTTGATCGGAAGTTTAGGACTCCAGAGATTGACGACAATACCTTCTTCCCTTACCGAAAGTTGACCTACAAACTTGATGGAGTTGGCTCGATTACCCACTTTGTGTCCAACAAAGCTATCAATAGTCGTGCGAATGGACCGGACGACCTGTTCATCAATCTCCAACGTGATGATCTTGGTCTCAAACGATTTCAGCTCCAGTCCAGTCTAGGTAAGTGAGCCATGTCCAAGCTTCAGAAATATTTCTCACATTGAAACAGTTGCGGGTACACTGACCTCACATTTCGCGGTCAACTACGTAAGTGACGACATTACCTTGACATTTTAGTATCCACTATCTGACGAAATGACACAGGGTATGCCTTACAAATATGTCGTATCTGTCGATTCCAAGGGCTTCGACGAAGCGCCTAATGACATGCTCCAGGCTCTGGGTCGTTTGTCATGGGCAACTGAGAAGGCAGTCATCTCTTCTGGAGATAAATACCTGCCTCCAAATGAGCTACTGACGCTCGGCTATTTCGAGGAAATGAAGATCGGAGTAAGTCAGAGCTGTGGATTGAGAATAATCTGTGCTAAATTATCTTCTATCAGTTCCACGATGACGGAGAGTCCTCGCTGGGGCCCAGTATCGCCACACTGTCTCTTGGAGCGAAAGCAACTATGTTCGTCCGCATGAAGTATAAGTATTTCAATGGCTCTACCCGAAGGGCTGAGCCCACGCAAATTGGGACTCTTCTGCAGGATGACCCTGTTCTGAAAGACTGCATGTTTGAGGGCGAACGGCGGACACTGAGGGAGGAGTTCGATGCTGGTGAGATCTCGCAATCTGACTATGATGACTCTCGCCGTGCTCTGGCAATGGGCCGCAAGGGAAGAGAGGCCCCAGTTACCATCAAGATGGAGCTTAACCATGGTGATCTTGTTGTCATGCACGGAGGGGATCTCCAGAAATACTACGAGGTTTGTGGTTCTTCTACTCTTTACCAACATTGAAAATCAAATCTAACCAATACAGCATTCTGTGGTTCCCGAGAACAAATTGCGCTTTGCTTTGACTGCGAGATACGTCAAACCCGACCATATTGATGCGAGAGAGATTCAGAAAGGCCAGTTCTCACTCACACCCGACCAAATCTACGATGGAAAGTGATATTACGTTTTGTCTAATGACATGATTCCGGAACATCTTTCCCAGTTCTACCATCACACGACCTTATATCTATCAGAGTACCGCCAGTTGCTGGGCTAACGTTTCTTTTTTTTCTTACGAATATTTCTATGATGTGTCCAGGTCATGTTTTGCTACTTTTGCTATATACCCTACTGCTTATACTTCTTATCGTATGCTTTCTATCAGTTATATTCGCGGAAGACTTGACGGCCACTGCCGTACTACCAAATATTATATCTCATCTCTAATTTTCAAGGCTTTTTTGTGTTGATAACCAATTCTAGTCACTCATGGGTGAATGGGCTTGCACGAGTTTGTTAGATTATGGTGTTTAGACCGCCTTCGAGCCGTTTTGTGTTGTCTTATTGGCTTATTGCTTCCTACCGCTTGCGGGTAGTTCTGCCTGTTGTACCCCATCAAAATTAATTAGTCAGAGTTAGCCGATTAGTTAGTTACATCTTCACCGCATTGATTCTAATGATTTTGGAGCCCATACATATCCCGGGAGCGAAAGCGGGCGAATGGGATTTGAATGATCTGCACGCCAAGCCCACACTTTAAATCCCACGAGGATTCTGCTATTCATTGAAGTTTAGGAGACAGAGTGCTTGATTGCTTGGTTTTCGGGATAATTAGGGCTTTCCATTCATCGTGAACCAGATTTATCCCCAGTACATCCTTGGCAATTGAAGTTGATGGTGGATACATATAGATGATACCCTCGGATACGTATAGACCGAGGCATAAGTACTAGCGGCGTCGTGTCGTTGGAGATTCTCGCAGGTTTGCCGAGCTTCCCCGCATCCGTCACTTTTCCATTAAATGTCCCCTCAGCTGCTTCCAAGGTTATTGTCCAAGTCCACGTGTGTTCGCTAGACCCCTTGCTTACTCGCACTGCCATATATACCAACCGTGGGTAAGACCCCATTGCGCTCACCTGGCTGCAGCTAACCGCATTCCAAAAATAGCCGAGACCACGTATATCATATCACTGCGACTCTGAGAAACTGGAAAAATGGTGTTTTTGCCTGCTAAAGATGCGGGCCAATTGGAGCCAATTCCTGACACTATCCCAATCAGCGAGTTCATGCTCAATGAGAAATACGGACGAGTGCCACACGCCGGCTCCCGGGACCCATACACATGCGGTCTCAGTGGGAAGTCATACTCGTCGCGCGAGGTAGCTAATCGGGTTGACTCACTGGCTCGTAGTCTTTCAAAGGAATTTGGTTGGGCGCCAAATGAAGGATCGGAATGGGATAAGACACTGGCCGTGTTTGCCCTCAACACTGTAGGTGCAATATACAATAGCAAGAAGAATAGAACGGAGCTTATTCTTTCGTCTTGCCATTAGATCGACTCCTTGCCGCTATTCTGGGCCGTGCACAGACTGGGTGGTGTTCTCACTCCCGCCAACGCCTCATACTCCGCCTCCGAGCTGACACATCAGCTGCTTGATTCCAAGGCCAAGGCCCTGGTCACTTGCGTTCCTCTCCTCGCCATCTCACTGGAAGCTGCGGCCAAAGCTGGTCTCCCGAGGAGCAAAATCTACCTACTCGATGTACCCGAGCAGATTCTTGGCGGAGTGAAGCCCCCAACAGAATATAAGACTGTTTCCGAACTCATCGAGGCCGGAAAGTCTCTACCGCCAGTGGATGAGTTGCGATGGAGCGCAGGTGAGGGAGCTCGCCGAACAGCATTCTTGTGCTACTCAAGTGGAACATCTGGATTGCCGGTAAGGAGTGCCCCAACAACTTGAATAATGCTTTGGCTAATCATGTGCTGCAAAAAAAAGAAAGGAGTGAAGATCTCCCACCGCAACGTCATCGCCAATACCCTTCAGATCAAGGCATTTGAGCAGAACCATCGGGATGGCGGTGGCACAAAGCCCGCGGATACAGAGGTTGCTCTTGGTCTCCTTCCGCAGAGCCATATCTATGCTCTCGTGGTCATTGGCCATGCTGGCGCATACCGAGGCGACCAAACAATCGTTCTCCCCAAGTTTGAATTGAAATCCTACCTGACCGCCATTCAACACTATAAGATCACCACGCTGTTCCTGGTAAGTATGTCTTTGCTGAGAAGATGCCGTCGAATGCTGACGACAACCACTTAGGTACCTCCGATCATCATCCACATGCTGGGCACGCAAGACGTGTGCTCCAAGTATGACCTGAGCTCCGTGCGGCTTTTATTCACAGGAGCAGCACCCTTGGGCATGGAGACAGCCGCCGATTTCTCCAAATTCTACCCGAACGTTTTGATCCGCCAAGGATACGGTATGTGGCATTGGCACTTCTTATAGACACAGAGCCGAAACTGACATTTTCACGCATAGGCCTGACAGAGACGTCCACGGTCGTGAGCTCGACCCACCCGAACGATATCTGGCTCGGTTCATCCGGTGCCTTCCTCCCTGGAGTCGAGGCCCGCCTCATGACGCCCGAAAACACGGAAATCACAACATACGACACACCCGGCGAGTTGGTGGTCCGAAGCCCAAGTGTCGTGCTAGGCTACTTGAACAACGACAAAGCCACCGAAGAGACATTCGTGGACGGATGGATGCGCACCGGAGACGAGGCTGTCATTCGTGTCAGCCCGAATGGCGTCGAGCACGTGTTTATTGTCGATCGCATTAAGGAGTTGATCAAGGTCAAGGTTCGTGGTGCCACCGGTTGATGGAAATGTTCGCAGTCTAACACGTCATTCCTAGGGTCTGCAAGTCGCACCTGCCGAACTCGAAGACCATCTCCTCGCCCACCCCGATGTCTCGGACTGTGCCGTTATCGCCGTCCCAGATCCTCGTGCGGGAGAAGTCCCCAAGGCTATCGTGGTCAAGTCTCCCACTGCAGGATCGGACGAATCAGTCACCCAAGCTCTTGTGAAGTATGTTGAAGACCACAAGGCTCGTCATAAGTGGTTGAAGGGAGGCATTCGATTTGTGGATGCAATTCCCAAGAGCCCGAGTGGTAAGATTCTTCGCCGGTTGCTCCGTGATCAAGAGAAGGAGGCACGGAGAAAGGCAGGTAGCAAGATCTAAAAGGTTTCGGATAGCTTTGATGGAAACCTTGGAAGAAGCGCCAAGAACCATTTTGGTATAGAAGTATGTACGTTCACGGGTAGATAGTTCACAATCTTCAATATAATAGCTTGTTGTATTGTACTATTTACCGATATTAATCTCTGATATGTAAGTTTAAGATGACGATCACTGGTTCTTGAGGCACTTGAGATTCGAGATTCGACTGCCTCGAGGCTTCAAGTATCATTTAAGTGGCCCTGAATGATAATATAGTATTTCAAAGAGTAAGTAACAAAGCTTTCAAGCCACTTGGACATTGCTATCTTCCCTAGGGGCCTCTTGAGGGACTGTCTGGGGGACTGCCTGGGGGACTGTCTGGGGAGCTGTCTGGGGAGCTGTCTGGGGGGCTGCCTGGGCTGTCTGTTTGCTCAGGATTTGATCAACTGCAGCTGCAAGGCCACGGCAAAGCCCAGACCAGGACTTCCGTTTTGAGAAAATCTGGCTCACCTCGGACAGCAGACGCAAGGAGCTTGCTTTGCCCGTCAGACTTCCGACTCCAACCAGGTTGAGCGGAGTGTTTGGGCCTTCGGCGATCCAAATATGAATTTCCCTGGTGTCTAACAAGCGAATCTCTTTAGTTGGAGCATCCGGCTTTTTGATCTCAGGCTCGACCACGAGCTCGTCGAATGCCCATATATAGAAGAAAGCAATAAGGAAACAGAGAGGATCATGGCAGGAAAATTTCTGCTTCGCTTTCAATGTGCTGTAAACACATACAGCATGCCACAGACATTTCCTGGCACTAGGTGCATTGTTTTCCATCCAATGTTTCAGGATACTTGTTGTCGTATCGACCTCGGCTTCCTCGCCTTGCCACCCTGAAAATGACTCGAGCATCTGAAGTGATACTTGCCGGAGAAGGGACAGTATATGATGAATGACATCTCGAGCGGCAATATAGTCTGGTTTGGCTGAGGTGGGAATGGCCGCGAATATTTCGTTCATGGACCGAAACATCATTGCGCGCAGAGCGGAAGGGGTTGATGAGATATGGTCCCATCGCTCCTGAACTGGCACGCCGGTCACTTGGGAACTTAGACCCGATTTCCAGATGGAAGAATATGACATTTTGTCAAGGAACAATCTCTCCTCGCTGTAAAGAGACAGCATGTAGAGATTTCGGCGGTAAGCATCCATTCCTGCCATGGTTTCATTGGCTTTTCTGACATCAAGTTGAGTAGATGGAGGTTGTGATACATCTAAAAGTTATGGTCAATCCCGGAGATATCTGATAACAAAAATTGGCTCACTTTGATCAGATTGGTATACATGGACGAAATTGTCGGCATTTCTACGACACCATAGTGATTGGCGACAGGGGAACTCCTCGGGGAGTTCATGCTGCCCAAATATCGGCTGACGATCAAATAAAATGAGCTGAAGACATTCGAGCTCTGGTGAATGGTTAGCCAGGCTTACATAGCTTGTCGCAAGGGGCACATACGAAAGATACAATGAAGTAAACGTATACGAGATTCTCTTGCCAGCCAGGCTCTCCACTGTCTCGGGGCTTGTGACGTTTTTGTTTTCATGCATTGATCAACCTTCAAGACACGGGCCAATGTGACGAGCACATTTCGCTCATATTGCAGCTTCAACTGCGCTTTGTGCGAGCCGCCAAACATCAGGCAGACGTCACTAAGAAATACGCTTTGTGCATAGGATAAAGTTGTTGTTTCGGGTGATTGAGGTTGCTGATTTGATTAACATAAGGTACGAATCTTCACCAGGAGATGAACTTACGTTTTGTGCTATTGCCTGACACAGTATGTCACCGAAAGATGCTGAAAACTGACTGGCATTGCCGAAAGCGCTATACTGACTCCCAACAGTGACCACTGCTAAAAGTACCATCCACGAGGTTTTGTCATGCCCAAATTCTAGAGCATATGGGTGAACCACGGGGTATTCATGATCGAAGTGTTCAAAATACAAGTGCACAAAGTCTTGGATGACCCTCCACCATGGAAATGTCGCATCTTCTGTTTCTCCTAGGCTCACAAGAAATGCCTTAAGTGATTCATATATTGAGATGTTGGTCATCACGCTGTAACGAAATTCAGGCAACAAAAATCGCTCATCTGAACGCCGCATTTTTGGAAGTGACAATTTCAACTGGCGGGTTGACTTAGAAGGGCTGGCTGCAGCAGGAGCCGCAGGGGCACGAGCACGAACACGAAAACCCGGAGCCGAAACACGCGGACGGCCCCGTGGACGAGGAGTCTTAGGAGGTGGTCTTGCTTGCGATGCTGGGCCATTCTGATCATTTTCTGAGTCGTCCGATATTTCCATGACATCCCGCGAGGCATCCATCGGGTCCTGTGTAGTGAGGTCTGTAGCAGGCACGGCCGGACCTGGAGTAGTCTGGTTTGTTCCATCTTCATTCAATGAGAAAGATGATGTACGTATGTTGGATGAGGAGCCCTGGTCTTGAATATTCTGCGGAGATAAAGGACTCGTCTGGTCAGACGGCTCTTGTTTTATATCTTTTCCTTCATGGTGTTTCCTCAAATGAGCCGCAAGCCTATGTCTGCGGGGGATCAGAATTGGAACATCGTATGAATAGGAAGTGCCTGCAGCCTAGAGACTATGGCATACCTTCGAGTATAGGACCTTGGACAAAAACGGCATTTAAACTCTTTCGACCCCGAGTGTCCCCGGTCATAGCATTGTTGTGACAGTGCTGTGCCGCATTGGTCACAAGTAAGATGGAGTTGCGGGCGAGTATGAGTTAGGATATGGCGTTTCAGATGGTGTTTACGCCCGAATACCTTGTCGCATTGCTCGCATGGGTAAGACTCCTGCAAGGGGTTCATGGCTTCTTCCCACTCTGAAGCACATAGGTCAATTCGAAAAATCAATGCAACCTGCAATTAAACAGTCTACAACCAGGACTGTGGCCATGTATTCACAAAAAATCCAGTAAATCCAGCAAACACCTACAACGACGCTATTTCGCGTGTCGCGCTGACACCAAAGCGGTCACCAAAGCGGTAAGAGACAGAGCATAATCTGCCGCGGGGTGTGGATTTCTAAGCGGGGAGGTAAGAAAAAAAGATCGAGGGCATTTCAAGTTGCCTTAACAACCTACTTCTTGCTTCAAGATTGTTTAGGAACAGCTTATATCAGAAGGGACTGTTAATAAATCACTCCTTTCGACTTCATATCTTTCATATCGCACCTATCCACGGATTGAAAAAAAATAATAATGTCTTCAAACGACCCGCACCACGAGAATGAAGAGGACTATATGCAGGCCGACGATGCTGAAGAGATCTTTGAGCGTGATGAGGATCACCCTATGTCGGAGGGAGAAGGAGAATATGACGACGAGAACATGACCATTGAAGATGAGATCACCTTCCAAAACGACTCAGTGGCACACTTCGACTCGCATTCAGACTCCGTATTCTGTGTTGCGCAGCACCCGGTTCACAACAATATTGTCATGACCGGTTCTGGTGATGACACAGGCTACATCTTCGATTCGACCCCTGCACCGCGTCCAGTGTTCCCATCAAGCTATGAATCAAACCCTCAGCCAAAGGAGCGCGAGTCTCTCGCGCCTCTGGCCAAGCTTGACGGGCACACTGACACTGTGAATGCCGTGACTTTCACCGAACCCACAGGAGAGTATGCCATTACGGCAGGTCTGGATGGCAAGCTGCGAGCTTATCGGGATACCACACCCCAGAAGACCGGGCTCGCATGGGAGTTCTTTGGCGAGGTCCAGGAAGTGGAAGAGATCAATTGGATGGCCGTGTGCCCCTACCAGCAGGGAAATGAAGGGACTCAAAATGTTATTGCCATCGGTGCCAATGACGGCAGTGTGTGGGTCTTCCGTATCGATCATACCGACCCCGGGCAGCCTATATCCATCATTCAGACCTTCTTCTCCCACACCGAATCATGCACTGCAGGCGCATGGACGCCTGATGGAAATCTGCTAGCAACTGTTTCTGAGGACGCCAGCTTCTATGTTTACGATGTCTTTGGAGCTGCTGCTGCCGCTGGTATCGAGTATTCCCAAGGCACTAATGCAATCCTTGGATTGACTGCGGAGGATCAGCGTTTCGCCGTGGAGGGTGGTCTTTACACCATTGCCATTTCCCCCAGCGGCGGTATTGCTGCAGTGGGTGGTGCTGAGGGCAACATCAGAGTCGTCGGCCTTCCCCGGGTCACAGCAAGTGTCCCTGCAGCCAAGGGCAAGGGCAAAGGCACACCCTCCCAGGCAGCCGGTTCCACCGCTGCAGGAACTATCATGGCCGCATTGCAGACCCAAACGGACAATATTGAGTCACTGTCGTTCTCTCAGGCCCCGTTCACCCTTCTTGCCGCTGGGTCTGTGGATGGTTCGATTGTGATGTACGATGCGGCTCATCGATTTGCGGCCCGTCGGCATATTCGGGATGCCCACGAGGGAAGCGCCGTTGTCAAGGTTGAGTTCCTGCCTAGCAGCAAGCAGCTCGGTGCGACTGTCTCAGGGCCCCTTGCCAATGCTCCCGCAGCCCACCAGAACCGCTCTTGGATGCTCACGTCTGTCGGTCTGGATGGTGTGGTCCGACGTTGGGACGCACGTGGTGGAACCGCCGCGGCTTCGCAAGGATTGATGCAGGAGTGGAAGGGACACATGGGTGCCACGGAAAATGATGAGGGCGAGCAAGCCGGTGGCATCATGGGCTTTGTACAAGGCTTCGATGGAAAGCGTATTGTCACTGCCGGTGATGATGGTATCTCGCTGGTATTCGAGGAGTAGCCTGCACAAAAAAAGTTTGAGGCCCCGAACATGCATAGTGGGGGTTCATGTCGATAATGATATTACGTGTTTATAGAAGCTCACAGCCAAACCAACCTTGATAAACAGCTCATGATATACAAGGCAAAATCCCTGTAGAGTCGATGACCGATGATCGAACAATAAAGAAACATGGTTGTAGTAGTGGAACAAAAGCTATGTACATTCGACAAATCAAACCCAAAGCGCCATCTGGAAGCTACGCTCCTTATGAGCCATGAGAAGCTGCATCTCCGCCCTGACGACAAAAGCCCCCGGACTTGGCAAAGCTGTAGGCGCTATAATCCAAAACTCGGCTGTGGTTCTCGCGGAGGCGAGACGACTCTTTTCGTCGCCTGGGGTATAGATCCTCCGCTCGATAATCCGTTGGTCGGCGGCATTCTCAATTGGTCTCCAGAGACGACCCTTTAGTGGTGCTCTTCACCGTGGTGAGCATCGCCATGGTGGTGATCATCCTTCATGAAGAAGTGCTCGTATGTGCAGTAGCCAGCGAAAGCGACAGTCGCGATACCGAAGCCGGGGAAGAGACCCTTGAAGCGGTTGAATCTGCTGAAGGGGCCGCAGTAGCGCCAGGTCTCACTGTGAAATATTAGTGACTAGCACAATTGGAATCACATCGGCATCACTTGACGTACTTGCGAGCCCATGGATCCCGCTTGGCCCAGATGGAAGATGGGGAGGCCGCGGCCTTGTAGTCGGCCATGTTAAAACCGGTGGGGTTGGGGGCGTGCATTGTGGGTGTTATCGGGTAGTCAATATTACTTAAAGACGGAAATAAAGAGAAACAAGATGTAAGAGACTGCAAATTGGTCCCTAAGTCCGCAATCAACCGCAAAGTGACACAGTGAGGAGCCGAAGATGAGGAAAAGAGGTGTGCTTGGCAATTACCCGCGCTAACCGAATACGGCACACCAAGTAGCTCCCGCCTTCGAGGGACGAAACTGTCACTTCATCCATGCGCATCTTCGAGACAACAAAATGCCACCTCCCGTTGGCAGATATGGGCCATCTGGCTTGAACGCTCCATACAACATACAGCAAGCTCACCTCCAATCTCAACATCCCGCACACGCACAGTCTGGGAATACGCTACCTCCCCCTTCGCTTGGTCATCCTGGCTTCGCGGGCAATCCAAATACCAACATCAATCCTTTTACACTATCCGGCGGAATTGCAAATGGTATGGCGGTCGCCGGCTTTCCGGGGGCTGGTGCAGGTGATGGTGGCGGCACCGGTCTGGCGAGTCATGCGGCACAGATGGGATTCGCGCGCGGTGCGCAAATGCAACAACAGCAACTACACCAGGGTCACGACGGTCGATTAGCACTCGAAGCAAAGGGCGCTGCGGTAAAGTCAAGGATTAGAGATGTTTGGAAACACAACCTGGCCCATGAGATGGCGGTTCTGAGACAGTTGGTCGACAAGTACCCTTATATCAGCATGGTAAGCACCACTACGTGATCCGTGCGAAACGGAAGTCTTCTGAGAGTAACGTTTACTGACTAAGACCTAGGACACCGAGTTCCCTGGTATTGTTGCTCGTCCGATCGGGTCATTTTCGAACAAAGCAGACTACCACTATCAGACCCTCCGATGCAATGTTGATCTGCTGAAGATGATACAACTAGGCATCACGTTATTCAATGATGAAGGAGAGGTTCCCCCAGCCTCAGGCAATGATGCCAATGGGCAAGCGTATGGTGTACCCGCTCCCTGCACATGGCAGTTCAACTTCCGATTTTCATTAGAAGGGGACATGTACGCCCAGGAGTCAACAGCCATGCTTGCTAAATCTGGAATCGATTTCGCCATGCACGAAAAGAATGGCATTGATCCTTTCGAGTTCGGTGCTCTTTTGATTAGCTCTGGGTTGGTGCTGCTAGATGACGTACACTGGGTATCTTTCCACTCCGGGTACGACTTTGGCTACCTGATGAAGATCATGCTCTGCTCCCAGCTCCCCGAAAACGAAGAGGAGTTTCACAAGCTTCTTACCATCTTCTTCCCGTCACTTTACGACATCAAATACCTCATGAAGCACGCCGGTCGCAATCAAGCCGTCAACGGTTCTCCTCTCACGCAGGCTGCAGCACAGATTCTGACCAATCTAGGCCAGAAATCGGGTTTACAAGACATTGCCGATGAACTTGGCGTCAAACGTGTCGGAATCGCCCACCAAGCTGGGTCAGACTCCCTGGTTACTGGCGAGATCTACTGGAAGACGCGCCAGCTCATTTTCGGAGGGGAAATCGACGACAGCAAATATTCCGGCCAAATCTGGGGCCTCAACGGACAAATGCCCGCAGTGGCCTACAACATGGCCCAGCAAACGCCGAACCTCAATGGTGCCACCATTTACTCCGGCGGAACTCCCAGCACTCCCAATACTGGGTCTCACGGAGCTGGCGCTCATACACCTCAGCACCACGGCGCTGGCTACAATGCCCCGACTCCCGGAGCCTATCAAATGGGCCGGGTATGAGGCACAGTCTGTGTAGCACCTGGGTTGATGTGATATGATGTATGTACATAGACACGAGAACATCGTGTTATTTTCCTTCGATATTCGGCATTGTCTTCGCGCATATTACTTTGCATGGGCTCTCTGTCTGTGCTAGGTTCTGCGTCTAGACGATGGTGTTGGGCAGGAAGGTGCCTGGCGTTTGATATGGCTGGTTTTGAATCCATTTACGAGGCGTTGACAGGCTCTATTATGGCCTTGGGCCTTTCGTTCTTGTGATCTACGTCGCTTTTTGTTTCTTTCTTGTTGTAGCTAGATCGGACCTGTCTGTGTCCTATGTATAGGAATCATGGTTTCTGTTCGCTCAATTTGCCTGGTTGTAGATTCATGGGCTCCATTTACTTGTCCATATCTAGGGATCTGCTCGGATGAGAGGTCCGCAGTTGCAGATTTAATCGAGGCCAAGCACACGTTCCCAATTGAGGATTCTCATGCGACATGCCTGTTTTCTACCCCGCGATGTGACAAACGACATGAATAACGCATAGACGATAGCTGCAGACAAGCATCTCTTTGCCGTTTTGGGATTGGAGATACCACGCTAACCCCAATCAGGATATCAGATCCGGCCTCCGCAAATATTTATCTAATCGATAGAGGTATAACTGCAGGGCTCGGGACATTTTCGAGATACCACTTGCTTGTTAAATAGCTCGCAAGCCCAGACCTGGAGGAGAATCAAGTGAGTTAATTGTGTTCAACTCTTCAACACTGCTTGACTCGAATTGGCACTTTGCCCTCATCACATTGAAGTCATCTCCTTCCATATACCTCTAGCACAGCATGGTTCTCGACCGACTACACCAATTGACTCACCAGGTCAGCGCTACGGCGCCGCCACCTCATCCGCTTGATCCTCTGTCTACGGTGGAAATTGATGCGGCTGTTAGCATTGTCCGCAAAGAACATGGCTCGCTCAACTTCAATGCGGTCACACTATACGAGCCCCGCAAGGCCCAGATGATGGCCTGGGTGGCTGATCCAGAAAATGCGCCTCGTCCTAGCCGAGCCGCTGATATTGTTGCCATTGCGCCTGGTGGTAAGATCTACGATGGTGTGGTTGACCTGAACCAGAAGAAGATCATCAAGTGGCAGCACACACCGAATGTTCAGCCTCTGATCACTATGGAGGATTTGCAGGAGGTTGAGCATGTTGTGCGCAAGGATGCTAAGGTCATCGAGCAATGCGGTATCATTGGAATCCCCAAGGAGGATATGCATAAAGTATACTGTGACCGTAAGTGGACTTCCCTCGTTTATCAAAGATTGATACTGATCAAATGGTATTCTAGCATGGACAATTGGATACGATGAGCGCTTTGGAACCGGTGTCCGTCTTCAGCAAGCCCTGATGTACTACCGCCCACACCCAGACGACTCCCAATACACTTATCCCTTGGACTTCTGTCCCATCTTCAACGCCGAGACCAAGCAGATCATCCACATTGATGTGCCGTCTGTGCGAAGACCGCTCAGCAAGGCGCCTCCAAACAACTACCACCCGGCCTCAATCGAGAAAGAAGGAGGATACCGAACCGATCTTAAGCCAATTCACATCACCCAGCCAGAGGGTGTGTCTTTCGAGGTCAAGGGACGCATAATCGAATGGCAGAACTGGAGTATCCACGTCGGCTTCAACTACCGGGAAGGCATTGTCCTGAACAACATCACATTCAATGACAAGGGCAATGTGCGACCTGTATTCTGGCGTCTTTCAATGGCCGAGATGGTCGTGCCATACGGCAACCCGGAGCATCCCCACCAACGCAAGCACGCATTCGACCTGGGCGAGTACGGCGGTGGCTACATGACAAACAGCCTGACATTGGGATGCGACTGCAAGGGCGCAATCCACTACATGGACGCAGCATTCGTCAACCGGGCCGGCGCTAGCACAATCATCAAGAACGCCATCTGCATCCACGAAGAAGACGCCGGCATCCTATTCAAGCACACCGATTTCCGCGACGAGTCGATGGTCGTAACCCGCGGCCGTAAGCTCATCATCTCGCAGATCTTCACCGCAGCAAACTACGAGTACTGCGTGTACTGGATCTTCCACCAGGACGGCACCATCCAGCTCGAGATCAAGCTGACCGGCATCCTCAACACTTACGCCATGAACCCAGGCGAGGATACCAAGGGCTGGGGAACTGAGGTGTACCCCGGCGTCAACGCCCATAACCACCAGCACCTGTTCTGTCTCCGTGTCGACCCGAACATCGACGGGCCGAACAATACCGTCTTCCAGGTAGATGCAGTCCAAGGACCCGGTGAAGTCGGCAGTGCCGAGAACAAGTACGGCAACGCCTTCTACGCCAAAAAGACAAAGTTCTCCACACCCATCGAGGCTATGTCCGACTATAACGGGTCCACCAGCCGTACTTGGGACATGGCCAATACCAACAAGCTCAACCCGTACAGCAAGAAGCCCGTCAGCTACAAGCTAGTCAGCCGCGATGTTCCTCCCCTTCTCCCCAAGGCTGGCGGCCTGGTCTGGAAGCGAGCAGGATTCGCACGTCATGCTGTCCATGTCACCAAATGTGAGTTTTTCCATTTCCCCCTTCTGATATCGTGTTTCTTTTCTGACCTCGTTCTCTAGACGACGATGACCAAGTCCACCCAGCTGGCCGCCACGTCCCCCAGACCTCCGGTGAGCCTTCGGAGGGTCTGCCAGCGTGGATCGAAGCTGCTGGTCCCAGCTGCTCTATTGATAACACTGACGTCGTGCTCTGGCATACTTTCGGTCTGACGCACTTCCCTGCGCCGGAGGACTACCCGATCATGCCTGCGGAGCCAATGACACTTCTGCTGCGCCCGCGTCACTTCTTTGACCGTAATCCTGTTCTCGATGTGCCTCCTAGCTTTGCGCGCACACCCACGCAGGTGGCTGCTAATGTGAGCACCTGTGCCTGCAAGAAGAATGATGGCTCCAGTGTTTTGGTTTGATTTGAGATCAGACGTTGATTTGGGTTATTGATTTTCTCAGCGTGCACTTCTTGTATATACACTTTTTGGCAAACGAAAATGATTACTGATTCTTGAACTACTTTCTGATTTGCGTACTTTAATATAGCAAGTAGTTGTGGGCTATTAGGGCATCTAGCTATAGATCGTAGATATGTTAGCCACTGCGGCCACTTTTTATGTTTCTCATTGATATTTTAAACTTATTCAGACTGCACTCATAACAAAAAAAGAAGAAAAACAGAGAAGGAAAGAAGTTATAATGTCTTGTAATAGGGGAACAGGGAAATCCAGAGATATGCATATCAAAGTGTAAACCTCGCATGAACGCCTCGAAACATCCCAACAAGAAGGGAATCATGCTCAGAACCAAGTAAACCATAAAAGCCTCGGCACAATGCCTAGCCAACACGCAGAAACAAAAAGGGCAGCTGTGCAGGAAAAACAAAACACACGGGTAGAGCAATACTCTAAGCGGACAACCCCCGCAACAAAGCCCTATCAACCTCCCCGAGCAAGGAAAACAACTCCTTCCCACCCTCCGAATCCTTCCCTTCAATATCAAGCGACTTATGCAAGAACCTGCGCGCCTCCTCATAGCGACTCATTTCCGCAAGACACTTAGCAATCCGCCACCAAGCCTTAACATTCCCAATAGGCTTCGAGTCAACACTAGCCTTGGCATCAACCAACGCGTCAGGCCAGGCCTGCATTGCCATATGGGCCTGTGCGCGGTTCGCATAAAGGCCGGACAACTCCTCGCGCGCAACGCCTATAGGCTCCCAGCCCGGCCGACTCAGCGCCATGTCGATGGCGTACGAGTATAGCTTGATTGCCTCGTCGTAGTTGGATTTGCGGTGGGCGGCGTTGGCGCTGTCGCGGAGTTTGCTGATCTGCGCGCTGCGCTTGGGGTTTACAGGCAGGGGTGGGGGTGGGATGTTCGGGGGTCGAGACTGATTAGGGCGCGGTGTAGTTGGTTGAGTTCTTCCAGTTCGGCGTTGATTGCAGCTGTTTGGGAGGGTGTTTGTGCGGAGGATTGTGGGAGTGAAAGTGCTTTGGTGCTGGGGTCCATGTACAATGGGTATTGGTTGTAGATATCGATTTCACTGGCCATTTTTGGAGTGGGAGAGACCGTAGGTCTCGGCTTTGGGGTTGTAAGGTCGGTGTTGCTTCTTGGGGTTGTTAGTATATGCGCTGCGGTGTGCCTGAGCCGGTGTTTTGGGTGTGGAATGGAAAGGTGTCATTGCGGAACGGGTTAACTCATACAAGGTATAATTCGGGATATGCTGTCTAGTTGTTCGACAAGCAAGTTCACTTTGAGGTCAATATTCGTGGTTGTACTCGTCAAGAGATGATGATAGCAAGAGGGCAAGCTGTCCATAAACCCGCTGATATGAAAAGCGGTGGCAGAATAATTGTACCTTGTGGAGCAAGTGATAGAAAGGTGAGTATACTATGGCTTCATACTGACCAAAAAAAATCCTGTTCTAGAATATATCGACAAGATATTAGCCTTCGAAATATCATCTACGTACATTGTTGCGGATCAAGGTATTTTTACCCATAAAACACAGGGAAATATGATTCACAAATGCAATACATGATACATCTATATATTGCTAGCTCCAATGAAACAAAAGCAGGACATACAATCGTAATCCCAGTGCCAAAAAAGCTCGTGAGAAACACAGTAAAGACGGGCATTAGCCCAAAGTAAACAGCGATGCGCCAACACCGCGCTCCATGGTCAATATTCAAGGCGCAAAAAAAACAAGACGACTCATCAATCATCCGGGTATTTCACTGAAATATGCCTCCATGTACACCGACAACACTCCTTACTCAACTCGCGTGCCGTCCGTACCCACTCACAGATGAGCCACCAAACCCAGTGTGAGCGGTGTACTCAGACGGGGTGTATTCCGACGGATTGTAATGAGTAGACGGCTCGTACTGACTAGATGGCTCCACATAGTGCTGGCCATGCGCACCACCGTAACCAGTACTGTTATAATCATGGAGGACGCCTCCGGGGGCGGTAGCGGTGGGATCGTAGGAGCCTTGCATCGCGGTCCGGCCGTGTGCGTTGCCTAGGTCATCCACCTCGCTCTGATGCAGGAGGGCATAGTCCTCGTCCTGGTCGCCGAGGGTCGATATGCCCATGTTGCCGCCTCGGCCGGAGCGGATGTCGTCCTCATCCTCCTCGAAGTCCTGGGCTGGGTTCGATGAGAAGGCGGCTTTGCTCTGTGCGGCAAAGGTGGGATCAGAGACGGCGTCGGGGAGGGTGCCGGTGCGGCGGAAGTGCGTGACATTGCGGAAGGACATCCAGGAGGTGATGGCGAAGAGGACGCTTTTTGTATGTTAGTTCCACCAAGGAATCGTTGTGTCTCGGAAGGAATGCACGTACAAGATGAAAACACCGATAATTGTAGTTGCCTCGCTCAGCTTGCACTTGTCAGCGCTGCCGTATGCCCAATTATCGCATCCCGTCTTGGTAGTGTTGGTGGTGGTGGTGGTAGTCGTATCATCGGCTCTCTTAGTAGTAGTCTTCTTGTCGTCGTCGGTGGTCGAGCCCTTGGACTTTCCTTGGGCGACATAGGAAGCGAGACAGATCCACGCACTGAGCCAGAGAATCGAATAGAGGATGTCGACACAGGCGAAGGCATAGACGTTACCGAAGCGTCGAGCTCGTGGCCACATGGGCACTGCTACTAGATAGACCAGACCGGGAATACTCAACCAGCACTGCCATGCGGTCGTACGTCAGAATGCAACTTTTTTTTTAGTATCAAAACGCAAAACTCACCAGACCCCAGTACCAGCCTGTGCGCCCATCTATGCCATCTCCTTTGGTCCAGATAGCGATGGTCAAGGCCCATGCGAGGAAGATAATAAATCCTTGTATGAAATGTAATATATTCTTCGTCCGCCCGAGGCTGCCGCCTGACGACCGTACTTGAAACATATCTTGTGTAGGAGCGCTGCAAGGGTGTTGCGCTTTTTGTATTCGGAGGGAAGGGAGTGGTTGGTGTCGTCTATCGTGAAGTCATACGGGTCAAAAAAAGATGAGAGATGGGACAAGGCTGAAGAATGAGACCCGATGGGGTCTTGGCCTGGCTGAAGCTCCGTGGAGTTTTGTTTTGTTTTTGTTTTGTTTTTCAGTCGCAACGTCGCAACTCTGCAATTATTTAGATCACAACGATGGATATATGTAAATTAAGGACTTTAGATATTCAATCCGATCGATTTGTCTCTCTGCCTTATCCTCTTATTTCTACAGGGCGTACGTAAGTCTTCCACGTCCGCTGCCCAGGCGACAGCCCGTTACTATTTTGGGAACTTCGCCACACTCTCTTTTGGCATATGCGTATCACTTTACATCATAGTCTCGTTTCTCGTATACTCATGTTAACATACATAAAAAAGGAAAATCAAGCCAAATCCGTCAATCCCGCCTCTCGTGTTCGTTTTATCAACACCCAGATCTCTCGCAATGGTTGATAGACATGTACATGCCACCACCAGGGAACCGGATCAAGCAAAGAGAACAGCGGATCCTTCCAGAACAGCAGCTGCACTAGTTCTACCTCTGCAACTTCCAGAGCTGTGAGTGCCATGCGAAAGACCGGAAACTTCATGAAAGCAGCAGGAATAATGGCGGCTCGGGCAAATGCTGGCGCTGAATCGGTTGATGACAGTGTGGCTGTGACATTGGATGTATCGACCCGATTGGAAGGAAGCACAGATAGATACCCTGAAACGGGGCAAGGTACATTGTACAGCGGATGATCCACAGGTCTGGCTCCAAGTGTACAGCCGGCGATGTAGATAGCGTGTCGGACAGAATGTGCCTCAAACTCTTCATCGACCATGAGTCTGACGCAGAGATGGCCCGTCAAACGAACATCACCTTTGGTTACCAATTTCTGCATGAGGCTATGGATCGAAGCGGCCAGAGCCTTGTCCAAACGCGATGTACCCCACGTAAACGGACCAGAATCCGAAAACCGAACTCTAATGGCTTGAACGTGGCCACGCACAATCAGTAGGTCTGCGAATAGCTCTCCAAGACGAGATTGTTGCTGCAGAATCCAAGGCTGGTCCTTGGAGATCTGGATCTCGCTGATCGCCGAGTATGTTTTGCTCAGCGTAGTGCTCGGCAACAGTATAGCCTTCTCACTCGCAGATGGGCTTGCTCGTGAGATATGATAGGCCTTGGAAGGCGACCGGTGCAATATCTTGTGCACAGAGTCGCGCGATTGAACCCTGTGATGCTCAAGCACTGGAAGGCCTTTCTCGATCAGATACTGCCTGAAAGAATCAGGATGGCCGAAGCGAATTGCGCAGGTGACGTCGAAAGTGATGCACGTGCAGCTAGTGTAACCCTCAATGAGCTGTCGGACCATCGCATTTTCCACGGGGGATGCCTTGGGCGAACATGGAATCCATATGTCGACATTTTCGCGGTGGATAATGTCGGCGACCCGGGACATGTAGTGGTCCTTGGGAATCCGGTAAAATGCCACCAGAGCCTTGGACATGCTCCCACCGGAGCGTACGGGCAGGTCCAGGTCTGTAATATCGGCTCCAACCACGCGATGGCCTTCTAGAGCCCAAGACCTTGCCATAGTCAGACCGTGGGCTGTCCCTATGCCCGTGATAAGGACTGTTTTCGGGGAAAAGTTCTTTGAACGTCGAGTGACTGGCCGGAGATAGGCTATCAATACCGCGACCGCGAGAATGATGTTATCGACAAATAACAGCGACAATGAAAGGCATACTCGAAGGATATGCCAGAATACTCGTGACATAGTACCCGATAAGGCTAAAGCTTTGGCAGATTTAATCGACATGCTGAGTCTGTGTACAATAATATCGAGGATTATGGACCTCGAATGAGCAGCTTCGAGTACTTATAGTAGGGCATTATCGCTGGCAAGGCGTCGTCGCTGGCAAATTGTGGAACTGTCAGTTGGAGGGGTTGGCACCACTGAAGGCCCGTGAAGGGGGGGGTTGGGCTGCAGATCTAGTGCCGTGTGACGATGCATTTTTCGCGTTCAATATTCCAGCACTTAAATAGCTCAAGACCCGTAGCAAATCTGTAGAATATCAAGATCTCTGTATGAATTGACCCAGAGCAACCTACATGTACATATATGCATGTAGGTAACGTGCGTCTCGGGTCTAACCGCATGATGTCCGGCAATCACATGCGATCAACGTGGGATCAGGTTTCCGATCATTTCCCAGTCGTCTCGGCGCTGATTCCCTGAAGGGATACCTCCGAGGTGCATGAGCTTGGCCTGAAAGGGTAACGCCATCGACTGGTGAATGGTGAATTGGCGTGGTCCGACTCGGATTTACTGCCTGTCTCCGAAGTATTCCAGTTATCCCCGAGGCCGTTTATAAGGTCGCATATCCGCATGGAATGGATTATTTATCAGATTCCATCTAGTTAACTGCACGTCATGTCTCAACCAGGTCCCGCGGTAGGAATTGCGTTTTGATTTGATTGAGAAATGAACGCTAACCCATAATCTAGAGCGACGCCGGCAAGGAGCTGAAGCTCCTGCATTACATCTATGAACAGCCAAATCTGGATGAAATCCGGGGCCATCCCCAAAAGGTCCTAGATCTGATTCACGAGTTTGAGAAAAACTACCATTTTATGAACGTCGGCGCCGAGAAGGGAAAAGTCGTCACCAAACTCATCGATGAACTCAAGCCAAAGACTATGATCGAGCTCGGCTGTTACGTGGGGTACTCTGCGATTCTATTCGGCGACGCTGTCCGTCGAAACGGTGGCGAACGCTATCTGAGTCTAGAACTGAACCCAGAGTTCGCCGCAATTGCCAATATGCTCATCGAGCTAGCTGGACTGCGTGACTTCGTGCGTATCATCGTCGGTCGAAGCGACAAGTCGCTGCACAAACTACTCACCTCGGGCGAGGTGAAGAAAGTGGAGCTTCTCTTCATCGATCATTACAAACCGGCGTACACCACAGACCTCAAGCTGTGTGAGCACTTCGGGGCTATCTTGCCGGGTTCAGTGCTCGCTGCTGACAATGTCATCCACCCGGGCAACCCACCATATCTGGAATACGTCCGTAGCACGGTGGAACAGAAGCGTGAAGCGGCGAAGGCCGGGCCTGCGCAGGCATATAACACTACCGGGATGGCCGAACGCACGGTAGAGTCCTTTGTGGGTAAAGATGACGTGCCGACTTTCCAGTTTGTCGGGAACCCGAACTTAATATATGAGAGCCAGCTATGCCAACCCGAGGGATTGCGGGTATGTTTGCATGATTCCCCGAGAAATTTCCGTCGCTAACTCCAAGGGTAACAGGATGCTGTCGAGGTTACGAGGTGCGTGGGGGTGCAAGAGGCTTAGATGGCGCATAGCCAATGACGCAAGTGGGATGATAGAGGGGCAGAAGCCAAGATGTCAAGAATAGAAGAAGAATACGGAGTACCCGTGGACTCCATATTATTATCAAACAGGCGCAGAGTGCTCCGAGTAGAAAGTTGTACAGTCGGCCATTACCCACCCCACCGGAACCGGTACCCCACGGAACCGGTGAACCCCACCCGTTGCCGCCAGGACCTTCCCATGTCTCCGCTGAATGAATTCCGGGGGGCCCTATAAAAGGGTCTCGATACCCACTGATTACCCCTCAATTGAATCACAATCGATATCTCATCATGGCTAAGACTTATAACGTCGGTATTGTCGGCTACGGCTTCAGCGCGAAGATCTTCCACATTCCCTTCGTGACGGAGGTTCCCGAGCTCAAGCTCTACGCAGTTGTCCAGCGCACACCGAAGCAGGATGACGATGCCGAGAAGGACCACCCCGGTGTGAAGTCGTACCGTAGCGCTGAGGAGATGGTCCAGGACCCCGCAGTCGACGTGGTGATCATCACCACTGCCCCCGACTCTCACTTCGCACTGTCCAAGCTGGCGTTAGAGGCTGGCAAGCACGGTAAATCCCCAGAAATCCCGGATATCAGTTGCTATAGATACTAACTTGGAATAATCAGTCGTCTGCGAGAAGCCCTTCACCCCCACTTCCAAGGAGGCGGATGAACTTGTCGCCCTTGCGAAGAAGAACAACAAACAGCTTGCCGTGTACCAGAGTATGTCCCGTCACCTAGCTTATCCAAACCTCTACTAATACCTGCCTAGATCGCCGCTTCGATGCCGACTACGTTACCCTCTCCAAGCTCGTCAAGAACGGCTCATTCGGCCGCATCTCCGAGTTTGAAACCCACTTCGACCGTCACCGTCCCGAGGAGCCGGCTAACTCTACCTCATGGAAGAACAAGGTCATCCCTGGTGGCTCGGCGATCTATGACCTTGGAACCCACCTCCTGGATCAGGTCGTGCACCTGCTCGGGCTGCCCGCGCGAGTGACCGCTTTCATTGGCTCCGCCCGGGAGCACAACACGACTTCATACGAGGACTCCTTCACCGTTCTGCTGCACTATGCCAACGGCAGTATGGTTACCGCCAAGGCGACTGTGGTCAGCCCCGAAGAAGAGCAGCTGCGCTTCTGGGTGCGCGGTACCCAGGGTAGCTTCAAGAAGGTGAGAGCAATCTACTTGCGTAGATCACTGCGATGTAATGAAATGTTAAGGCTGACTCAATTGTATAGTACCACCTCGATATCCAAGAAGATCAGCTCAAGGCCGGCATCAAGCCCCAGGATAAGGGATACGGCCGTGAGCCCAGTGAGCGTTACGGTACTCTGACAACTATCAAGGATGGCAACCCCGTTAAGGAGGTGGTTCCCACCGTCGAGCCCCCCACTTACACCGAGTACTACCGCAAGCTTGTTCGCGCTCTTGGTGGCGAGGGTGACCTTCCTGCTAGCGGCGCGGAGGCTGCTCAGGTCATTCGTTTGATCGAGTTGGCTCGTGAGAGTTCCAGCGTTGGACGTACTTTGGACGTCTAAGCTGTTTATGCAAATAATGATTATGATATACTCGATAAAGGCAACCTTGAATATACAGTGAATCTTGGATATAGTTCTTTGACTCCAATACACACCATGAATACCCTTGCAGTCGGAAACTAAATAATTAGCGTTACGCAAAGCATCTCGACAGCCAAAACTGTCGATGTCTAATAATTCGTCTTCGTTTAGATATACATGTTCATGTTCATGTTCATGTTGCTGCCTAACAAGGGGCCTGGATGCGCACCGTCACATGGTCTGCACGAGGGGTCTGAGCAGATTTTCTCTTCGAACGGGAAGCTTCCAACTTGTCCCTGAAGGATTGAATCTTGGGCTAAGAGATATTGTGATGGACGTCAAATCACTACCAGAGTTTCGATTCTTCCCATATCCCAAACATCCATCCGAGTCTCAAGAACTACTACCAGATGATCCAATTACCCTCAACACTTCGTCCTCATGGACTTACTGCGGACCCCTCTTGACCCTTGAGCCATATAGCCTGCCATCATCCTTTACCACCTGGGCAGATGCCACAATCAACGGCTCAATATTGCCCTCCTTATTCTCCTTCCTGGCATATGTCCACGAATTCCTGGCCAAAAACAACCAATCCCACTACTGGCTCACCATCAGAGCAAGCAAAAGCTCGGACGAATTCGATACCCCACGCTGGCACACGGACGATTTATTCTTCTCCCCCTCCAACCAAGAAACCATTCAAGACGTGAATCGCTCTTCTCCCCAATCGCTAATCTACTCAAATCGCCCTGGACAGGACCAACAAAGAACCAAAAACTCCAACCCCGAGTATTACCCTCTAAGCCACGAATCAAGCATCACGATCGCCCACGTCCCACATCTCCAACCGCCCAAATCCCCTCTACAAGCCCCGCCCCAACAAACTGGAAACTCACAACAACCCTCCTAGGCCCCGGAACCCTGTTCATCCCACCGGCGACGAACCGCCTAGCCCGCATCACGCAACAAGCCGCCAAAACAGCCGCCCGCGCCGCAGACCCAGACCACATCTGTGTCTCCGTGCGCTGCGTCGGGTGCGCCATGGCGGCGGAGTCGGTGCGGGCACGGCTGGTCGTTGAGCTGGGTGGACACGGGGTTGTGCAGGCGTCGGCAGGGGAGTGTGTTTTCTTCCGTGTTGGCGAGGACGATGGCGCGGTGCATTCTGAGCCTAGGTCGCATGGTGATCGGGTTTTTGTTAATGTTGTCCCTGGTCATGAGGCGGATCTTAGGGCGCTGATGGCGAAGTGGGGGATGGAGTATCCGCGGGCTTGGTGTGTGGGGTTGCCATTGGTTATAGGGGAGGGAGAGGAGTGTTTGAGGGATGTTGGGGGTGAGATTTGATTGTTTTCTTTATGATACCCTGGAAGACGTATCTCTATTCTTTAGTATAGATGGGTGCTCTGGGCGTATATCGCAATAGCTGGGTGGGATAGATTTAAGGCAGTCATTTGCATTATTTTACCTCAGTGATGGTCAATTTCAGTTGCGTTGAGACGAAGAATAGCTCTAAGTCTTGTCTTGTACGAAGATCGGATAATGACGATATGCCAAGCCGCTAGTCCCAAATAGTAGTTTATGTTACCAAATGCAAATCCACTAAGTGGACAAGAAATTAGACCTGGCATCGACCTTGGGAGACTCGATATCCGCGGAGAAAGGAAGAAAGGTTGCATTTTAGACCGCAGGGGGTATTTCTCACTAAGGGATAGCGGTATGCGGCGGATAGGGGTTCTTCCTTTCTATTCCCGACAGGGGTGAATCCAACATCGAGATGCGTTTATGGGATTTGGTGAAACCCACCAGAGCCTAGAGCAAATTGTGCCCATCGCAGAAATCAAGCATGGCGACATCCCCGCGTGAACCGGTGACGCTATCCCGCCCGATGACCTGGAATTTCGATATCGATCGGTATCTGAATCCGTTTGTGCCGGCGCCACGATGGCATCTCGTGCCAAGACCTGTTGCATATATGCTGGGATATCGGGATAGACCACCCAAGCCAGTGGGCAATATCGTGGTCGCCTTGTGGGCATCGATTGGAGCGTTTTGCGGGGTGGCTTTGGTGGCATCTGTTTCGAAACGGGTTCCTTCTTTCAAAGCGCACGATGCGACAACGATTCTTGGCAGTTTTGTGCGTTATGGTCTAACGCGAGAGTAGTGGAACAAGAACAATCCAGGGCTGACTCGAAGCTTCTTTGATGATAGGGTGCAGCGGCGGTTATTGAATTCGGTACGATTAACTCGCCCTTGGCGCAACCACGCAATGCAATCCTGAGCCAGGTGATCGCTTGTTTCTTCGGGGTCGGGATATCAAAGTTGTTCGCCTTGGACCCGCGTGCTGAGGCGTATACCGAGCTTGGGGGCGCTCTTGCTTGCGCTCTTACCACGGCTGCCATGCTCCTCACCAATACTATGCACCCGCCGGCGGGTGCGACTGCTCTTCTGGCAGTGACGCAGTCTCAGACTATTGCTCTGGGCTGGTTTCTGTTCCCGGTTGTGTTGCTCGGAGTCGCGCTTATGCAGGCTGCGGCCGTGGTCATTAACAATGTGCAGCGTCAATATCCGCTGTACTGGTGGACGTCATATCCTCTCTCGCCTCGGGGGGATGTGGAAAAGGCTAGTCAAAAGGAAAGACTCGAGACACCTAGTGAAGATAGTCTGACGGGTGTTCCTCGGCGATTGGTAGTAGAACAGAGTGAAGTTTCGGTGCCTGATGGGATATTGCTCTCTGCCGAGGAGGAGGAAGTGTTGGAGAGGATCCGTAGAAGGCTTTGAGGGGACCATACATATCAAATCTCAGCTGCATGTAATCTCTCTAAATGTAAGCCCTCCCCAGGGCCCTGTTTCACACAAATCAAAAGTGGCAAATCGACACCTCAGGCACCAACCGCGGTGACGTCTCTCCCAATCAGAACTGACTTATCCCAGCGGCCCACCGATGGATTTTTTTTTTGTTCAAACGTCCGTGAAATCCTTGAACTTGCCAACTCACTCTTCTCGGCCAAATAATTAAACTTATAAAGTGAGAACAGGTTCGTTCGACTCCCAATTTCCTCTTTTCTCCCTTTTCTCGACTGACAATCGATAGGATTCTATCGATAAGGGCAAACCACCAACTCCACTGCTCGACGCCCCTCCATTTCTGTCCGCCCCGCCAGACGATCCACTCAGCCTTTTTGCATTTCTCTTCAATCTCTTTTTGCATTGTCATCCTTTCTCCTTTCCCTCCCTTTACCTCCCCGTCGTCCCTTATTTCATTTTTAAAACCCCCTTTTTTATACCGTCACACCCGCAACCATGGTTTCCGCCTCGAAGGCTGCCCGCATGGCCAAGCGTGCCGACGAGAAGAAGCCCAAGAAGGTCACCAAGGTCGAGCTCGATGCCCACGGAAACCCAATCGTCGAGGATGCGCCTGCCACTAAGGATCAGTCCGCCGTTGATAAGCTCACAGCCCAGATGGATAAGCACGGTATGTCCGATCGTGTCACCACCGGTGTGCTGTCATCTCTGCCCGCCTCTCGCGACGTTAAGATCACCTCTTGCTCCCTTGTGTTCCACGGAAAGGTCCTGGTCACCGATTCCACCCTCGAGTTGACCTTCGGCCGTCGCTACGGTCTCCTCGGTGAGAACGGTTGCGGAAAGTCTACTATCCTCAAGTCTATTGCTGCCCGCGAGTTCCCCGTTCCTGAGCACATCGATATCTACCTTCTGAACGAGGGTGCACCCCCCACCGACTTCGGTGCCCTTGACTGGGTTGTCCGCGAGGCCGAACGCCAGTTGGAGGATATGGAGAAGAAGGCCGAGGAGGTTCTTGAGGAATCTGGCCCCGATAACCCTATCCTTGAAGACCTATACGACGTATGTATTTTCAAGTTTTACTCTCCTTGGATCCAGAACGGAAACTAACTCTCATACAGCGCATGGACAAGATGGATCCTTCTACCTTCCACGTTCGTGCCTCTCTCATTTTGACCGGTCTCGGCTTCAACAAGTATACCATCAACAAGAAGACCAAGGACATGTCCGGTGGTTGGCGTATGCGTGTGGCCCTCGCCAAGGCCCTGTTCGTCAAGCCCTCTTTGCTCTTGCTTGATGACCCCACTGCCCATTTGGATTTGGAAGCTTGCGTGTGGCTGGAAGAGTACCTGAAGAAGTGGGATCGTACTTTGATCCTGGTCTCTCACTCCATGGATTTCCTGAACGGTGTCTGCACCACCATGCTCGACATGCGTGGCCAGAAGCTCCTCTACTACGGTGGTAACTACGATTCGTACCACAAGACCCGTAGCGAGCAGGAGACCAACCAGGCCAAGGCCTACACCAAGCAGCAGGAAGAAATCCAGCACATCAAGAAGTTCATTGCTTCCGCTGGTACCTACGCCAACTTGGTGCGTCAAGCCAAGTCTCGCCAGAAGATTCTCGACAAGATGGAGGCCGATGGATTCATTCAGCCCGTCGTCGCCGACCGTGTCTTCACCTTCCGCTTCGCCGATGTTGAGAAGCTTCCTCCCCCAGTTCTCTCTTTCGACGATGTCAGCTTCTCTTACTCCGGTAAGTGGGAGGACACTCTGTACGAGCACCTCGACCTCGGTGTTGACATGGACTCCCGTACCGCCCTGGTCGGCCCCAACGGTGTCGGCAAGTCTACCCTGCTCCGTCTCATGACCGGCAAGCTCAGCCCCATCGGTGGCCGTGTCTCCCGTCACACTCACTTGAAGCTCGGTGTCTACAGCCAGCACTCCTCCGAGCAGCTTGATCTTACCAAGTCCTCCCTGGAGTTCGTCCGTGACCGTTTCCCCGAGAAGTCCCAAGACTACCAGTACTGGCGCCAGCAGCTCGGCCGCTACGGTCTGAGCGGTGAGGGCCAGACTGCCCTCATGGGTACCCTGTCTGAGGGTCAGAAGTCTCGTATTGTCTTCGCTCTTCTTGCCATCGAGTCCCCCAACATGATTCTGCTGGACGAGCCTACCAACGGTCTCGATATTCCCACCATTGACTCATTGGCCGATGCCATCAACGCCTACAGCGGTGGTGTCGTTGTCGTCTCCCACGATTTCCGTCTCCTCGATAAGATTGCCAAGGACATCATGGTCTGTGAGGACAAGACTATCCGCCGCTGGGACGGCTCCATCGGTGACTACAAGAACCACCTCCGTAACAAGATGTTGTCTGCCGGTGCCGTTTAAGGGCTTTATTGATTCTCTTTGCTTGTTCAACTTTTTTCAACTTCTTTTTTTCCCCTATTGATGACGACGAAATGCTAGACGAGAACTGAAGGAATACAAATGCCCACATCGTGGCACTAAAAGTTTGGATCCCGCAAACAGGGACACTCCAACAAAAAGTTCCTTGGATTGGGATGGTTTTCATTTAATTTCTTTTTGTCCGTTAGATCGTTTGTCCTTCCCCCCTTTTCCGAATAGACTTTGGGTTATGGAGGATTGGACTTTTGCGTTTATTGCTATCATGAACTCATTACCCCTGATTCGATCCGTCTGTTTCTTTGTCTTATGTATCCTTGATAGAGTGTCTAGTCCTCTTTTCCGAGGTGAATATAAGGGATGCCAGTTACTATATCGTATGGCGCTACTTGTATATATGACATGCTTCCTCTTGATACTTTCGATGTTTCCATGACTTGTCTAGATATCTTCCCCGTCAGCAGTGTCGTGACTCTGAGCATCGGCCGGGACTAGTTCGCTAATTGACAATGCCTTTCTTCTCTTTCTAGTTATTCTTATCCCAACACTAATAGAATACACCATGACGATGCCCGAGAAACAAAGAACATCAACAATGATCATAGTACCTCATTGTCTTCTTCATCTTCTTGTTTCTCTCTCTATCTAAAACAAAGAACTAAACCCAAGTCACCACTAACAGAACATACATATATAAATACCCCCGGGTCTCTCCACAATCTCATCCCATCTATAATCTCATTCTCCACAGCGACATCCACAGCCATATCTAGGTAAGCCCTAACAAATTAACCCACCACCAGAAACCCACCCACGCACCCATGAGCACAATGGACGGATCTCGCGTGCACCCGCATAATTTCCGAGAGATCTACACACAAGCCTGCGAAGCCTTCGCCCACAAGCTGCAGTGCCAGGTATTCGTCCTCCTCTGCCCATCTCCCAGCCTAGACATGGAAGAGATCCCGACACGGCTAGACGAGCTCGGCGAGCGAGTCATGCAGATCGGGTTCCTGGGCGAGGTCGGCGAGTTCGGTGTCCGAGATCATAACCGCGTGCGTGTTCGTTGGGGCTCGCTTCCTATTAAGGAGATTTGCTTTCAGATTAAGTGGGAATTGGCTGTTCTTAAGGATGAGCTTGCTGGTGGTCAGACGCCGCCTCAGTTGATTGCGGAGCTTTTGGCGGAGATTTTGGATTCGTTACCCTTTTGAATGGATTTTATTTTATTTATATGTGTGTTTTATCGTGCTTGGTTTGTGTAGGTTTTGTATAATGGGAGTTTTCATGTTTGAGGTCTGGTAGAAAGAATGGCACTAATAGTATAATCACAGGACTGATGGGGTTCAATGTCGTTGTAGTTCTACGGAAGGTAATACGTAGCGTCGATTACAACCATTGATGTCGCATCCATTGCATATCGAAAGGCAGAATTGAATTTTGTTTCCCATGCCGGATCGGAGCAAAATAAACCTGAGCCAATTTGGAGTGTTTCTGTGCGATGATGGCAGGGATGCAACTGTGCCCTTTCCAGGTTTGAGACTTCGAGGTTTTAGGTCTGTATAGACCAAGAGATCTACTGGCTGCAACTCGGACCTGGAATTTGGAAATGTATTATCGTGTCCGACGGTTGGTGCATATATAAGTGCGTCCGTTCTGATATTTGATATTAAACATCCGTGTCTTTGGGTTCAATGGCTTGCATGTCAATTACTTGGTTCGCTGAGTGACCAACTCCGGACCAAAAACATCATCTTCCTGACGGACAGCCTGTCCTTGTTCTAATTTCCGCTTTTTCGCTAGGCGTTCTGTTTCGCTCTCGGAGTTGACTATTCCAGTGTCACTTTGAACAGCGGAAGATGGCTGGGTTGATTCCCGTTTCTGAGTTGCAGCCAGATTCACCTTCTCGGGGTTCTGGCAATGATATAGTTTCTTTGCGATGCGCTTGAGGCTCTTCATTTGCGCGGGGTCGGAGGAGAGAGGCGTGTATGATTGGAGTAGAGCAGAGCACTCAGTCAAGACGTGATGCAGCTTGGAGCGGATTTCGTATAGAGGGTTCACCAGGCCATTTTCGTCTGTTTCGGGGGCAGGGATTGTGGCTGTGACAGGACCACCGAGTTTGACATCCAGCAAAAACTCTGCTAGGGGACGATCCGCCAGTAAGAAGGCGGAGAACCAGATCTGGGATGGTGTGTACAAGAAGTAGGCGTCCGTCATCTGCGCAGCGGATTTCAGCAGCTCACGAGTTGTGCCGTGGGCTCGAGCGATTCGATCTGACATTGAGGATGATGGGACGGGAGGAGGTGCGATGGACAGCAATCCTTGTTGGAGATCTTCCGCGGTCTCATATGGTAGATGGGGGGCCGGTTGTCCTTGGCCTTCCGCGATGGCTTGTAGTTCCATGACGCCGCCTTCCAGTCCCCGGAACGGATGCCGTACATCAAAGGTGAAACGCAGTCCCTGCATAAGCAGGAATTCCGGTGCGATGACGTCCTCTGTCTTTGTGTCACCAGGAATTCCATCTGCAAATTGTCGAAGAGATATATAGTAATTATCGGTTTTCGTCGCGACGAAGAGCGCACACGCCATGATCGACTTTGGATGGTATGTCATGGGTGAATTGGTTAGGTAGAAGCGGCGAAGGTATTGGATCGCGGTGGCCTGTATGCGTAGAATGAGAAAAGTCAGCTTCTCAAGCTTATTTGTACTTATGAAGAGCGTAACGTACCCGGACCATTGTCGGGATTGGTGGCTTGTATGTCTCTCCCAGCTCTAGCGTCTTCTCGCAGTAATAACGCACGAGAACGAGCTCCTCCTCCGGTGTCAAACATTCTACATCTTTATTCTTGGTTTCCGTATTGTTTTCCGGTAGTGGTGTTCCCGCCGCGGAGGATGCGCTCGACTGATGAGTCCCGCGCGATCTGTGCAAAGCGGCGCGCACGCGCTCGCTAGCAACGGCATTTGTCGTAGCTCTGAGAGATTGCAGAGATGGCTCGGTGTATGACCACAGGCGGTACTGGGACGAGGCGCGGTAGATGTCATCTTCAATCATTGTGTTAGTGCTCTCGTCTTGTTGGAAGAATCAAAGAAACCTTTCGAGGTTTATTGTTCGGCGGAGATAACGGCCGGCTGGTTTGAAATTTCGAGAAGGAATAGGCGTAAGTTGAAGGGCCGTTTTAGGTATGAGAATAAGTATTTGACGATCCTCAAGGAGCTCAGCAATTAATCCACTTGGTTTCATCCGAGGAGGTTCGAGGCTGGTGCTTATCGATAAGACCAACCCTCACTTCACCTGGGCAGCCCTAGAGCTCTGCCGAAGGGACGTCAAATCATTAGATTGTTTTCTAGTCTTTTACTTATTTTATTGGTTTGGATATCAATTAAAAGCTATGTAACATATATTTGACATGCATAAGCCACCCAATGCAATCCGCCCATGCAATTCATTCATGCAATTCATTCATATTCCATATGTGCTTTCTGCCTCATTTCATCCCGAGTTCACCCCAGGAACCAGAATATACATCACTCACCAAGAAGTCGGGCAGCAATATCACCCATACGACCTTCTTCCAACTCATAGTCTTGACCTCCCCGTCTTTCGGCACCGACATATCGGAAAGCAGCCACAACACGATCAACGTCGAAGCCCATGCTGGAGAAACGGTCGATTAAATTCTTGTTGTACCCATCATATCTATAGATATTAGATAATAGTCAGCAGGATACCCAATGAATGGTAGAAGAACGACTCACTTTGCGAGACTATCTTCGCTAGTTGCTTGCCGAGTGTCATCTAGGCTTGATCCGCTTCCATTGTCAGCACTACGCACGGGAGCTCCAGCATAGAGGACTGCCCAGTCGCGTGCAACACGCTCAAATTCCTTGGGTGACTTGAGAAGCATATTAGCCACTTCAGCATCTTGGGGATCTTTGGGCTCGGGAGTGCTGAGCAAAGACTGCAGTGAAAGCAGAGCGGACTTGATAGTCAGAACTGGTGACCAAGCACTGGAAAGTGTGTCGAGGCAGATTGCGCCCTACATTGCCTATCAGATCCCAAATTCTCTCATATTTATATTATAAGGGCACTGACCGTTTGACTGCTGACATTTGGATGCCACACTTTGGTCTCAAACTTCATGGTAGGTGGTCGGAAAGGATAGTCCGTTGGGATTTTGATATCGATATCGTAGATGCCACCTTCATACGGGGTACCTGGTGGCCCTGGAAATGACCCCCTTAGGTGAGTGAGATCGTCCAGGTTGCCAAATGGCTCCGCCTTTATGTGAGAGTGGACATCGGCGTGAATGTCCGCAATCTCTTTTCCAATGCGACGCATACGATTGCTAGCCATGGCGATTCGAGGACTAGTTTCAGAAAGAGGTCAAACAGGAGATGTTGAAAGATAAACCACTTTGTGTGTAAATTGTGGAGACAAATAGATCTATTTCCGTCTTGCCAAAGACTGCACAAGAGCGTGGAAGCTGCCGTGGAGAGGAGAACAGAGTGGGGCTAATAGTAGGATAGTGTTAGGAGGGTTTCAGATCAAGTAGAGAGCATCACACATGGAGTATGAAATCCTCTAGGGAATTGAAAGCAATAAGATAAACGAGGATCTCACCAAAGGAGGGGAACTATACAGGGAATCAGTATGAGGGATGAGCTCAAACACTGTCACCTGTCACCTGTTTTATGCACCTTAGATATACCTGAGATATATACCTCGACAGAAAACACGAGTCTTAAGCCTAGGTTGTGTGAGGTAAACCTCAGTATAGAACCTCGGTGGAATATAAATTTCTTCGATTGTCTTCGAGAATGTCGGAGGTACAACCTTGGAAGCCGATAACTAAGACAGGCGTTAAGGCAGCAAGGCGTGGATGACGCAGTGGCGGCCTGAGGTCTAAATAGTCACGTGTGGGCCTAACAGCTTCCAGCTCGCCCAGCGTCCTGGCCTCCGGCGATACCACCACATCTGCATTGACAATCCATCCCTTTCAACTCGTCTTTCACATCATTTAATACCAAGGCTCGGGATTCACCCAGCTTTGATTACATTTGCAACTTCACACCAGGGATTCTGATAGTCTCCATCTCGGTGGCTGACAAACATGGTGAGTGTTCCTGTCTTGCCATCCTTTGGGAGGTTATCTCGATTTACATTCTAACATTTAAAACTAGGGTCAACAGCAGTCTAATCTGGGCGGCGGCCCTGGAGGCCCTGGAGGCGATGACAAGGATAAGAAGGTATGTTTCTAACTCATTTCCTCTGCTACACAACCAGCGCTAAGACCATATCTCTTTCATCAGAAGGAGAAGCCCAAATACGAACCTCCCCCACCACCTACTACTCGTCTTGGAAAGAAGAAGCGCAAGGCTGCCGGCCCAAGCACTGCGTCCAAGCTCCCCGATATCTACCCTACATCGCGATGCAAGCTACGATACCTTCGCATGCAGCGTGTTCACGACCACTTGCTGTTAGAAGAAGAGTACGTTGAGAACATGGAACGCATGCGCAAGGCCAAGGCTCTGGCCACGCAAGATCCCGCTAGAGGGGGTAGTGACTTGGATGTGATGGATCGGAACGCTGATGAGCGGAGTCGAGTCGATGACATGCGAGGCAGTCCGATGGGCGTCGGCAACTTAGAAGAGTTGATTGATGATGACCATGCTATTGTCTCAAGTGCCACCGGCCCTGAGTACTACGTCTCGATCATGTCTTTCGTCGATAAAGATCTTCTCGAGCCGGGTGCCAGTATTCTCCTGCACCACAAGTCAGTGTCAGTCGTCGGTGTACTGACGGAGGAGTCTGACCCCCTTGTCTCGGTTATGAAGTTGGACAAGGCGCCGACAGAGTCATACGCTGATATTGGTGGTCTGGAGCAGCAAATCCAGGAAGTTAGAGAATCCGTGGAGCTGCCCTTGCTACACCCCGAGCTTTATGAAGAGATGGGTATCAAGCCCCCGAAGGGAGTGATTCTTTACGGTGCCCCAGGTACCGGAAAGACCCTACTTGCCAAGGCTGTTGCCAACCAGACTAGCGCAACCTTCCTCCGCATTGTTGGCAGTGAGCTGATTCAGAAGTATCTGGGTGATGGCCCCCGCCTGGTTCGCCAGATCTTCTCAGTTGCTGCTGACCATGCCCCATCAATTGTGTTCATTGACGAGATTGACGCTATCGGTACGAAGCGATACGATTCACAATCTGGCGGTGAGCGAGAAATCCAGCGAACCATGCTGGAGCTTTTGAACCAGCTGGATGGATTCGATGATCGTGGTGACGTGAAGGTCATTATGGCCACCAACAAGATCGAAACACTGGACCCAGCTTTGATCCGACCTGGCCGTATTGACCGTAAGATTCTCTTCGAGAATCCAGACCGTAAGTGATACCCTATATCTACTGCTGCGCCAGCTTACTAACAATTCCTAGAAAACACCAAGAAGAAGATTTTCACTCTGCACACATCGAAGATGTCTCTCAGTGATGACGTTGATCTCGAGGAGTTCATCAATCAGAAGGATGATCTCTCTGGTGCCGACATCCGCGCTATCTGTACCGAAGCCGGTTTGATGGCCTTGAGGGAGCGCCGAATGAGGGTTCAGATGGAAGATTTCCGGGCTGCTCGTGAGCGTATCATGAAGACCAAGCAGGACGGTGGTCCTGTGGAGGGTCTATACTTGTAAACGCTGGAAATTATTTTGAGGGTAGAGTGCCGGAGTGCTTGCGCTGGAGACCTGTACTCAGCTAGGTCCCTCGTGTATTGTAATAATCGAGTAACGAACGATCTAAAGGGTCTACTGCCCAGCAATTTCCCTAAATATATTCATAAACATACATCGAAAGTACATAATTTGCCCGTTGTAGCTAGTACTTGAGGTTGTTTGCGCCAAGCTTATCAGCGAGTTGCAAACACTGCAAACAAGCTCATTATCAGGTCGAAATGCCTCTCCCCATTGTCGCAAAAGTTTCTCACACAATCAATCATGGATGAATTCGACGAGGAAGCATTCAACAAGTTCTTTCCCTCCAGTTTTGGGAAGCAGGCGAAATCGGTTGATGTTGAGTCCCAGATCGACCGATCCAAGCGTGTTGATGTTGCGGCTCCGAAACCAGAGGACAATGAACTAAGCATTGCCCCTAGCGCAGAAGCAAGAGGGAGCGACGATGAGCAAAAACACAGTGATGATAATAGCGACGAAGACTCTGACGATTCAGATGATGACGAGGATGAATTTCCCGTATCGCATGAGCTTGTTCTCAAGGCTCATGAGCGTGCCGTGACCACTATGACCGTGGACCCCTCGGGGGCCCGACTAATCACAGGTTCTACCGATTGCACACTGAAACTATTTGACTTTGCCTCAATGACTCCATCCACACTCCGCGCCTTCAAGTCCGTCGATCCTTCAGCCAAGAAAGCGACGGCTGCCCAGGACACCCACGCCGTGCACTACGCCGCGTTCAATCCGCTCTCCCCAAGTTACGTTCTAGCTGTGACTGCCACTGCGCAGCCACGAATCCTCAGCCGTGATGGTGAGATACTCACAGAATTTGTGAAGGGTGATATGTATCTACGAGATCTCCACCATACCAAAGGACATGTGTCTGAGGTTACTTGTGGCGCATGGAACCCATCTGATCCTAACATATGCGCCACTGCTGGAACCGACAGCACAATTCGCATCTGGGATGCCAATGTCGGCCGCTCGCAGAAGGAGGTGATCGTGCACAAGTCGCGGGCAGCTGGCTCCGCTGGTCGGACTAAGATGACTGCCATCGCATGGGGCTCCCCGAAACAAGGAGGGGCCGACATTCTGGTAGGTGCAGGTCTCGACGGAAGCCTCGCTATGTGGAGTGGAAATGGCCCATACACCAGACCCAGCGCAGAAATTCGGGATGCTCATGTCAAAGATACATGGACAAGCGGTCTTGATATCAGTTCCGATGGAAGGCTTGTTATCACCAGAGGTGGTGATGATACTATCAAGCTTTGGGATACCAGAAAGTTCAAGACTCCAGTCACAACCGTCACACATACCTCGACATCT